GACTCCAAAGCTACAGAGAAACCCTGTCTCGGAAAAAAAAAAAAAAAAAAAAAAGAAGCTACTTTTCTGATGCAAAGTTGAAAAACTCGTAGACAGGAAGTTGTGCCCAGGAGGGTTTCCTTTATTTAACTACATTTTTCTGTTTGTTTTGGTCTTTTGAGAGCAAGACACACTATGAAGCCCTAGCCTGGAACCTGCTCTGTAGACTACGCTGGCCTCTAACCTTGGCAATCCTGCTTCTGCCTGCCTCTTCAGTGCCAGGGTCACCGGCATCTGCTATCATGCCTGGCTAGTTGATTTTCTTTTTCTTTTCTTTTCTTTTCTTTTCTTTTTTGGGGGGGGGGGTTTCTTCTCTGTGGCTTTGGAGCCTGTCCTGGAACTAGCTCTTGTAGACCAGGCTGGTCTCGAACTCACAGAGATCCGCCCGCCTCTGCCTCCTGAGTGCTGAGATTAAAGGTGTGCACCACCACCGCCCGGCCTGATTTTCTTTCTTCAAATAAATGTGTGTAAGAAAAATAATTCATCTTGGTAAGAAAGTTACAAGGTAACACTGTCTGCAAAGCAGGCTCTGTATAAACATGGTGGCCTCAGATCCCTGAATCCTTATAAGGTTCTCCTCCGACCTTTGAAGGCTTACTGTGGCAGATTCACCAATAATAGTAAAAAAAAATGAAAATAATATCATGATGGGACCCAGGGCTCTTAAATTCAAGCCCCAGGTTAGGGAGTGTCAGGAAGTTTAGGGAGATCCAGTGAAAGGGAGGAGTTTTTTTTGTTGTTGTTGTTTGTTTGTTTGTTTGTTTGTTTATTAAGGTTGGAGAGTGAAGAAGGAAAACAGACAAGCAATTGCCTCTCTTTCACTATTCACATTATCCTGTACTTTCCCTTTTGAGTTTTACTAAACACCTAAGCAGTAAGTAGATGAGTAGAACGTTAGAAGCTGCGCCAATCTCCTTTCTGGGAAATAACCTCCTGCTCATTTAGCATATAGCCTAACTCTATATGTGCAGTTCAATGTAAGTATTACATGGGTAGATTAGAGACTAAGAGCTCCCGTGGGGGTGCAGATCTCCAAACCCTGTTTAGAAGGCAACATTTTCCGCACTTTGGGTGAAAGACAGAGCTTTGTTACTGAGGAAGGATGTACTTGATGGTAAGGCCGGAGACAGCGCGCTGGTCTGCTCTGAAGGACCTGGAAAGGCCATACCTCCATTCTTCTGTAGTCTGCTGATGGCACAAATCAACACAGGTATGAGAGGGGGCCAAACAAGGGCCAGATAGTATGGAAAGGCTGAGTTCCACCCACCACACGGCTCCCTGCAGCCACTCGGGGAACTGCGCCATCCCTGCCTGGGACCGGCTGCTCCCAGGACCCGCTGTCTGCCGCCACTTTGGGGACCTGTGCATGGTCTCATGGCGCGCTGCCCGCTGCAGCCCCTTGGGGATCCGCAGCATTTCACTTTCACCATTACACTTGCCTTTGTAGGGAACATCAGTTGGAAGCCTCCACGTTGCTTCTGGGAGGATACAATGAGGCAGTTGTTCTGACTATAGTTTGGGAGTCCATAGTCCTCGTTACTATCAATCATGGGGCGAAACTTCCTATGGTTTTTACATTATGCCTTTACCTTGTACATTTTAACATTTACTTTAGTTTCATTTTATTTTTTTTTATAGTGCCAGAGATTAAACATGCTAGGCAAGTGTTCTACCACAGAGCTACATGCCTAGCCTACCTTGTCAACCATGTGTGTGTGCATGCGTGCTCATGTTCCTGTGGGAGAGGTGCATGTTAGTGTGTGGGGGTGCATATGTGTGTGTGTGTGTGTGTGTGTGCTTGTAGTTGTGGAGGCCAGGTCATCCTGGTGTTGTTCTTCAGAAGCTGTTCGGGAGATCTCTCACTGACCTGGGGCTCACTTTATTTGGCTGGGCCCGCTGGGCAGCAAGCCCCAGGGATGTGCCCAACCCGACCTCCTTCACAGTGGGGCTACAAGCATTTGCTACCAGACTTGGTCCAAATCCTTCTCCTTCCATAGCAAGCACCTTAGCAACTGAGCCGCCTCCCCAGCCCAACCCCGTCAGTTTCTAATTATATTATCTCTCCTACTTCCATGCCTTCTTCCACCTCCACGCTTAGCATTCTACACTCAGGACCTCCCCAGGGATCCCTGGACTCCGGCCAGGCATTCTTACCATTTCCCCACCCCCAACCAAGGCTTCCAAGTTCATTCCACTCAGGTTTTGCCCCCTCACAGGGCCCCAGGATTAGCTGTAGGTGCTCCCTCTGGCTCTTCACTGACTCTCAGAGGGAGGACTCCCTGTTCACATGACAGCTGCCAGGAATCTTAGCTGGTTCACCTCTGCGGTTCTCCTCCCCAGCACCAGAGCCCATTAACCTGCACATAATTATGCTGAGAAAATATTAATTTAAAGAATACAAGCAACTCATTCCTCAAATGTTAAACAACCCAATTAAAATAAGGAAAGGAGAAGATGGGCAGTGGTGGCACACTGCCTGCCTTTAATCTCAGCACTGGGGAAGCAGAGGCAGGCGGATCTCTGTGAGCTCAAGGCTAACCTGAGTTCCAGGAAAAGCTCCGAAGCTACACAGAGAAACCGTGTCTCAA